AGGGTGCCCTGGTACCAGGGCACCCTCCCCCCCATGCTCCCATTAAACCAAGACAATAGAGACATTCTGGTTCTGATCCAGACATCCAGAAAGTAGGGTTTACCGTTAGCTGTGACGTTAGCCTCTCAATCTCCTCCTCCTGCATCCTCAGCACCTGTTGGAGGGGCAGCCATTAGTATGTTTCTGACTTCATTAGCTGAAGCAGTAGCTGCTCATAATGATGATGATGATGATGATACCCTGTTGCTGTAACGGTGCTGCTGCAGGAGCTGAGAGTTTTCCCCCTTTAGCATTTTGAAATCTTGCACCGGAAGCCGAACGCCATCATCCAGACACTGCTGCACCTTCTTCCTCAGACTATCAACCAAACAGAGATGTCTGAGGTGGAGGCATGACAGGAAGTATGAGCGTGTAGGTCAAACACCTCACCTCTGAACAGATGCCATCAGCTGGTTCTCCGTCTTGGCTTGCATCTCAATCAAAGCGTCTTTCCTCTGGATCAGAGCACATCCTTCCTCTATGCTCCTCTGCAGCTGAAGCACCGTGTTCTCTAGATGCTGCTTTGTTTCTTCCAGCTTGTCCTGCTGACGTCACACAACATGAGATGAAGGACGGATAGGCATTTCTACAACTGGAGGATCCAAGGAAAAGCTGATAGAAAGCTGGAGAAAGCCCCCTGTCAGCTTCCTACGGTGACAAACTCCTGTGTTTGATCCAATCAGTCATTGCCAACTAAATCATTTCAAGTATGAAGAACACTAGATCTCAATTTTTTGTTAATTATTTTTCCAATCAACAGCTGGAGTTTGTCAGCGGGATCTACTGGGAGTAGTTATATTTAGCGGCTTTTCAGACCCCTTAAGCCCTTTGATTTTAAAAAAGCTCCTAGCGCCAAATCTAGCGACTTTTTTCTGCTAGTGGAGACTTACATTAAACTAAGGGATAATAATGATATTCATGTATTTTACAGTGCTTTTAAAGAAAGAAAAAAAATAACCTTTATAGAAAATGAATAACTCATAGCTAAGAACTGAAAATGATTAAAGTAACGAGGGATAAATAAGGTGAAATGAAAAGTCTTAGAAAAGAGGAATTACCTGCTTGGACTGGACCTGCACCTGGCCTGGTGTGGGCAGGTCAGAGAGGTACTTCTCCAGGGTCTCGATCCGCTGCTGTCTCTCCTGGTTCTGCTCACTCTCTCTCTGGCACTTCTTCTTCAGGCTGGTGATGTAGCGGTCCCTCGTCTTTATCTGCTCACACAGAAGCTCCGTGATCAGACAGGGAAGCAGACATGTTGGTTCACATTGAATCCAGGGTTTAAACTCACCTTCTCCTCCAGTTTCCTCCTCTCCTCCTTATATTTCAGGATGACTTGCTTAAAGAACTGGTCCAGATGGAGAACTTCCAGCTCGGCCGCGGCTAGTTTCTCACCCAGTTCTTGCTCCCAGCCCAGCCTCTCTGCTCTGCAGGACGTCCTCACTGCTGCTTCCTAAACCACAAGCATTGCTTTGGTGAGTTGTGGAACGTGTCAGAGAAGCTGAAGTCTCGTTGGCGTCTCACCTGGGCGTTTGGGGGGGTGAGCGGCCCCCTCTGGCCGACCAGAACCTGCTGAGCTCTCTGCTCGTTCTCTTTGATCCAGACTTGCAGCTGGAGGATTTGCAGCTTTTGACTGAAACACAGAAAGGTTTGGTTTCAGTCACAGCTCCCTAAAGGCAACCCTTAGACCAAACATCCTGGTGAAGATTCTCCGTCATCCAGGTCATAGTCAGTCCAAAACAGTAAAAAAAATTATCCGTTGGACTTTGTTTCCAAGTTTGAAGACGTTTCATTCCCATCCCTGAAGCTTTTTTCCAATCAAACATCATCATCGCAACCCTTGACAGGGGAACAGAAGACCTCACCTATTGGGCCAGGCCAACAATTCCTGCTAACGACCCCCCTTTCAGAGACATAGACAGGTATGGGGGATTGCAGGCTAACAAAGAAGCTAAACCACCCCCGTTCCAAAGGGATGGACCCGTTCATCCATTTCTATTTGCTAATTATCTAAACAAAAACAAGGCTTTGTTGTTCCACTCTATATATAAAACCTGGAACTTATTTCTGACATTTTTAATTGAAAAAGCTTCTCTTCCTGGATGGGAAGAGAAACGTCTTCAAACTTGGAAACAAAATCCTGTGGATTTTTTTTTGTTTTGTTACTTTTTTGAACTGCTTAGACGAAACACTTCAACACTCGTGGAAATGTTTGTCAAGCAGACGGATGGTGGACTGTGGGACAGCCTGGTTCTGTCCATCACTTTGTTGGAATGGACAGAACCAAGTGAGCTACACATCCCTCTGCCACGGGATTGACTGGCTCTTCTTCTGCAGCGCTCAGAGGTTTGACCATTTAGTTCTTCCTCATGAAGCTGCGGGTTCAGACCCATCTTCCAGGTCTGGGTAGGAACGAGTGGTTGAGGCTCAGGCAGTACCTTTGGATCTCCAGCTCTCTCTCCCTCAGAAGCTTCTCCTTCACCCTCAGCAGAGTGTTGGCAGGGATGGACCTTCCTCTGAGCGTCTGCTAGAACAAAAACACAGCAAACAGAACCAGGCATTAGAACATAGATCAATGCTGCACTTTGCTCATTGGGTCCAGGATCATGGAGCATTTCTGGGGGAGCAATTGGTTCTAATGGATCTGGGGGCCTGTTGTCCATGATGGAAAACCATTGGGCCATGTGTTCTACTGGCTCAGAAGCCTTTCTGCCATAGTGAGGTTTCTGCTTGGGCTGCCTGTAGGAACAGTGGATGGTGATCCAGAACAGCATCGACCAGCAGAACAATGGCCCACAGTTCCAGCTCTCCAGGAACTCAGCAGTTTGTGAAGAAAACAGGAAACCAACAAAGATTCAAGCAACCAGATTAGCTTCCAATTGAACTTTATGAGACAGCAGAAGGTCTGCTCTGGCTTTGGTTGGGGACCTCATCTAACCAACCCAAACTAGATCAAACTGGTTCCTTTAATCCCCAGAAGATGTGCTAACATTTCCATCATAAAAAGTGTGAGGGATTGCTGAAGAGCCATCTGCTGAGGCCGACTGGGGTTCAAGGAGACAGAAGCAGACAGAAAAAGAAGCCAGCTCCCATGTCTGAACCATTTCCTTGTTTTTGCTTTCTTTTCCTGTTATACTTTCTATCCCTGCTTTGGATTTGGCCTTGATGCATCCCTATCCTCCAGCTTCAGCATCTGATGGAGCCCTCAGCAGTTCTTCACCCCACTGCTGAACTAACAGAACAGGTGCAAACTGAGTTTACCAGGATGAACTAGAAAGAAAGAAATTAAAGTCTGTGTAAAGCTCTGCCTGCAGAGTCCACAGGGCTCCATCTAAACACGCCCCTTCTGTTCACCTCCAACCATCTACCCACTCGCTGCTCATGCTTCAGGAAGGCCAGGCTAGGCTAGCCTAGCTGCCACTTTCATCCTGACCATTAGGGTTGCCAAGTCTGAAAAGGTTTTGGTGAGGCACCGCCTTCCACCCCACAAACATTTTGACTTTACTTTGGCTTATTATTGTGTGAACAGATTTTGTAAAGATTGTAATCTTTAATGAGGGAATTTGGATTATATCGTGTTTAGAGCAGCTGAAGAGTGAATCAGAGCAAAACAAATGAAAATAGAAAAGTTGAATGATAGGAACTTCCTCTATTGTTCTATTTACTGGGTTGGAATTTAATAACAGGTCCAAGGTCTGTGGAGGACAGCGGCTGCCCCCCCGAGCTGATCCTTGAACATGGGCACGTTCGCTACCTCCACGTGCAGCAATCATCCATACCTGCTGGAGTCCAGGCTCCTGATGCAGCAGGGAGAACGCGTCCACTCCCCCGTTCTCACCAGGCTCCGTTCCAGGGTCCAGTTTGGGCTGGTACTCCATCTGCTCGTTCAGCCACATCTGGGTTCGCACAGCCGGCTGGATGGGTGTGTCTATGGGTCGGTCCACCCAGTGCCCCTGCTGACCACCCCCATGCAAACTGTTGCACATGCAACTGTGCTTCACAGGAGAAGAATGAGAGGAGGACGGAGATGGATCTCTCCTCAGACCAGGAGACCTGCTGCTGTGTTTGAGGCCACAGGAGGGGTGGGAACCAGGAGATCTCTGCAGCGCGCTGCTGTACGCCGTGCTGGATGATAGAGGCAGGTGAAGCTTGACTTTAGAGTCTGTGTTTTTCCTTCTATACCCATAAAGCATACCTCTGTCCAGAGAGCCCTGGGCTCCTGTGCTGTAAACAGAGCAGGATGTCTTCATGGAGCTCTTCTCCACCCCTGAGGACAGCTTGGTAAAAGACAAGGACCTCCTGATGGGTGGATGGCCTCTTCTGTCCGTACTACTCTGGGCTTCTACAGTAGAGCTGAGGGGCTTACTAATCTCGCAGGACCTGTTCCAACAACTCAGGCTGTGGGATGAAGAGGACATCTTTAGGAAAACTCCAGGTGAGGATGAAGGAGAAGACATGGTAGCAGAAAGGAGGCCATCTTCCTCCTGCTGCGACAGAAGAAGGGTGGACAGGGGAGTCATACTGGAACTGGAGTCATCTGTGGACAGAAAAGCACGTTTCCATCAGGGGGAGAATCACTGCAGGCATTTTATTTCAAGCATATTTCAGCAGAACAATGATCTTCGTCTGCATTTAATCTAAACTGAATCTATACTATTAACTTTCTACTCCATTTCTAGGAAGCTGCTAGTTCCTTGTTCCTTTTGGCTCAGCTTAGCTTTATAAGCCACTGTTGCTGTTTTCCTTTATTGAAATGTATTTTCCTCATGGCAGACAGCAGCCCTTAGGAATAAATCTAGAGATTTAAGTTGTTCAGTAGGATGAGTTCCCAGAGCAGAGCTGCAGTTTCTCTGCTGTAATAGATTCAACCTTTAACCTCTATTCAGTAGGAGGAGAATCAACACTCTTGTTTTCTCTTTGGTTTGTTTTTTATTAAGAAATGATAATCATAATATTTGCCCTTAGTTTTTGTGTCTTTTTTGTCCATTCTTTCCAGATGGTGTAGAATCTATAGCAGATGGTTCTATGCATCAATAAATCAGGTGGTTTCTGAAAGTTACAGGTTCTTTAAAATGACTCTGAAAATGACATAGAAATGTACTGATAAAGAATATTTAATTTGTATTTTTGAATACTTAAGTATTTTCAACAGTGAATACTTTAATACTTTAACTTGAATAAATGTTTGACTGAGTAACTTTTACTTGTAGTTCAGTAATAGTTGACAGTGAGTATTAATACTTTTACTCAAGTACTACAGTTGAGTACTTCGTCCACCAGTGGACATACCTTCCAAACTGTCTGAGCAGTAAGTACCGATCCCTGTGTCCCCGCCGTCAGACACGGTGCTCTGTCTTCGTCCAGAACAAACCCTGCTTCCGGAGCAGAGGAGGCTGCCTTGCCAGGTGGACTCATGCCCCAGGGCCCACCCAACTGAGCCACAACTGGACCCTGAAACAAACCAGACACAAGCAACCAGAGGCCATTAAATGGTGGTTTATAGAGCAGCTGATGCCCAGGCAGGATGTTCTCCTGCATCACAAACATCAGCATGTTAACAAAGATGAGACTCTCAGTTATACAATGACCCCAATGTGGGGGAAGCTTGTTGCTTTGAACTCAGATTTATATTTGTCACATCAAGGTTAAAGAACATAACCTGAATGAGATGCTGCTGCAAAGTCTCATAAAAAGATCCAGAAATAAAACAAAATACAATAGGCTCTTGTGGCCTTCGCTGCTCGGGCCTAATGACCCCCAAAGAAGTGGAGGGAACAAGGCAGAAGACGAGGCAGAGGATGAGGCAGGGGACGAGGTGCGGAACGAGGCAGAGGATGAGGCAGGGGAAGAGGCAAAAAACGGGGCATGGGACGAGGCAGAGGATGAGGCAGGGGACGAGGTTCGGAACGAGGCAGAGGATGAGGCAGGGGAAGAGGCAAAAAACGGGGCATGGGACGAGGCAGAGGATGAGGCAGGGGGCGAGACAGGGGACCA